TATATAATATAATACAACAATAAATTACGATTAACCTAAATTTGAAAGTAACAGAATATTAAACAATAATGAGGATTACATAAATCTAACATGATTTAATACCCTTTTCTATCATTTAACAACAAACATTTTAAGATAAAACACAAAACGCTTGAATGTAACATCTATTATTTTTTCTCTCAACAGAATTTTAAATTTAATTTAATTTAAATTTTTAACTCAAGATGTTTTTATATCCAGATTTTAATTTTTGACAAGAGACTAGATTTTCCTTTAAGCATTATTATTATTTTTTACTTTCACTTACCTATATGTAATATATAGTAAGGGTAAGTATTGCGATCGTGAAAATTTTTGAGTCAAATTATCAACGGAAATACAAGGTACCCTGAGTCCAAATAACCAAGTCTCGAAAAATGGTCTGTGTGTATGTGAACACTAGCTCGAAAACGAAAAGTCGTACAAAACTGATATTACATATTTAACATAGATATATTTCTTAGATGTCCTGGCAACTTAAAATCGGCTAACTGGAAGTGCCTCTTTATATCAATTCTGAAATACATTTTTCTCAAAAACAGCTTTAACGATTTTGATTAAACTCTGTGTATCATTGTATAATTAAGTGGTCTTTAATATAATGTAGGTCTTATCCCCGTTGATGTCACTTTACAGGGCTTTAATGCCCAATGTTCATATACGTCTACCTCTAAAGTGCCTTTAATATGGTTCATTTCAAATAATTAACTACCTCTCATTATTAAAAGTTATGAAAAAATGCAAACTATAACTTTTGAAAGAATTTCATAATTGAATATAGGAGAAAAAAAAAAAAAAAAATGCTTATCCAGGGCGAAAATGAATCTCCAGAAATACTAGTCAGAAGGTATACGTATGATATATTGTCGGAAAGCCGAGCATTTTAGAAAAAACAATATCTAATATAGAAAGTTGTAGAAGGTAACTGAAAGTGGCAAAAAAATTATAAATAATAATTTTTGAAAACTGATAATATTTAACGTAAATCACATGTTTTCAAGGAAATTAAATGAAATTTATTAACTAAATGTAAACTTTAAAAAATATTTTTACGTTTGTAGAAAGTATCTAAAATCCACCTACTCAAATCAATGACATTGTTAAAAAAACTATTTCATTGTACTCATGTGAAAGAAGAAGTAAAATATAAAATCATTTCATGGATGTATAAAGCTTATGTTTATAACCTTAAATACATTTATTGTAGTTTAATAATTCTAGATCTAATATTATATTTAAATAATTAGATATCAACGTTTATTCCGAAAAATTGTCATGTAACTTTTTAAAAAGTTAAATTAGTGAATAATTTAATGAATAATTAATGATTTGTTAGCTGTAACCTTTAAGCTTTAGCTCGGTTAAATATGCAATTCAAAAAATTTATAATAGTCCAACATGGCCAGAAAATAATTTCTATTCCAAGATGAGCGGTAAGTGAAAGTTGTGTGTTGCGCGCACCAGATTTTTTTCTTATAATAATGAAATTATTACAAATCAATTCAAAGTCAGAAGGGATACCGAAGGCCTGAACAGACGAGTGAGAATACAAGTCAAAACAACAATAAATGACTTACTAATAAAACAGTTTATTTTAAGAAAGCAGCTATTATCTAATACTTTAGGCAAGTTCTATTCCTAGAATATTAATCCATTGTGTTTGCTTCTTCCTTTTGTAATGTTAAATTAAATTCTTGCTTGTCACAGAATAATTTATCTTCTCCATATTTTTCTATCTTGAATAAAATAACTTTATTATAACAATATACTAAAATTAAAAAAGTAAATATTAACACACACATTTATACATATACGAATTTAAGCTAAAAACGGCAATATAAAATTTAAATATGTTATTCTACAGATCCTGAAACGGATGGATATTCGGGTCCTGAATTTATAAAGGCAGGCGAATAAAATGTGCAATAACATGAAAATCCTCTGGTCTATATTAATAATCAGATGTTGATAAATACGAATATAAATTATTCGTTAAAATTGTTACTTAATCATCCTCCTGCAGACCTTAGCCGGTCATTTCCTCTTGGACTCGCTCCATCCACCTGTTTCTGGACTGTCCACGCCCTCTCCAGGACTTTCAACATATTCATCCATTCTTTTTACATGCTTGTACGATCTTAGGCGGCGTGCCCTTATCCTTTAGTTTACTGAAACACCCTCATCCATCTTCTGGTGAATTACTTCATACTTAATTCTATTCAGTCTGGTAACACGGAGACACCTCCTCCAGAAATCCATCTCAACCGCCTGCACCTTTGAGTACAAACGGGAGGTTATTTTCCAAGTTTTTGAAGGGTATGTCAGGATAGACTTGACAATGGCTGTGAAGATTTAGCGCTTGTTCTTGGTAGAAATCTCCCTACTCCAAAGGACTGGATGTAACATTCAGAATGCCTATTGGGCTTGCTCCTCCTTCTTTCTGATGTCATACTCAGACGACCCTGCAGCATCCTAATAAGAATCTAGATATTTTAATATATTTACCTTTTTACAGCTGTTCCTGTCCACCAGAAGCACACCAGTGTCAGTATTGTCAATGGCCATATAATCAGTCTTCTCAATGTTAATTCTTAAGCTCACCGTCATATCAAATCTTTGGGGTGAATACCATCATTTCGAGACAGATCTTCCTCTTTCCAAATACGGCCTAGTCGTTAGCGAAGAACAAGGACAGCAACTATTTGTGATCAATAAACAGTCCAACATTCCCACATTGCTGGTCATACCAAAATTTCTCTCATTTGTGCAAATATATTTTAAAGAGTGTTGGTGACATGTTACATCCTTGCTTCAATCCCTTGGTACCATGGAAAGGGTCAGAAAGACAGTACCCACATCTTATCTGGTCTTCCTATCTCTTTTATGACATACGCTGTACATATCATTTTCCAAAATGAAGAGTCCATGTCCCTTTCCACAGTCTTTTTCCATACAATCCATTCGTATCAGAGACTTTTAGTAAAACATATTTACACCATTGAGCAGCTAACCCAAATGATGACCGCCAACCTGTAGGACTAGGGTTTTCTTTCAAAATTTTCCTTCCCTTAGACAGACTGCCATCACCTGGTTAATAAATTCAATCTACCCAGGTTTTCCATTGGAGTTGTCCTTCTCTTAGGCGGGGACCCGCTCTCGGGGAAAGGACTTATTTAGTGGCAGTGCTCCTTTTAACTGAATATAAAAAAAATCTTAATAACAATTATTTTTGTATTATAGATATATCAGCAAAATTTTAAGATAGCAAATTCAGAATTAGGCAAAAATTAGAACTATCCGACTTATAAAACCATCACTAATAAACTGAAATAGATCACTATGCACATCATCATTTTTGCATTAAATTATTTCTCTACATTTTTCAGTGACCAATATATAAAATATTTTATTGAGTAATGAGATCGTCCGGAATGGCTGTCATAATAAGACTAATATAGTGAAAAAACTATTTTATTTGAAGCTACTGTTTCAACCTAACTTTCCAGGTCTTTTTCAGGGTTAGAAAGATATAAAAGGATATGGAAAAATATGGAGGCTACATAATGTTTAGATAAAATTATAACAATGTGAATAAACTTATTAAAATTATAAACAGTGTGAATAAAAAGGACATAGAAATATTAAGAACAAGAAACTATATGAACAGAGTAAACAAAGTATAACTTTTTTTTTTCTTTAACAAGACCCTAAACTGAAGTAAATAAGTGGTAACAATTAAACACGAAAGCTTATTTTAGACCTCCTAATAATTAGAAACACTGACGGTTCTATTTCTAATGGCTGGTATACTAAACCCACATACTCAGCAAGATTACTTAACTTTTACTCTTAACACCCATACTAACATTCCAATAGACAAAGCCTCCAAATTGTACAAAAAAACTGGCCAATTATTGAACCTCACACCACCCTCAACCTCATCTCATACCTTGAATCCCTTGAGATTAGTTACAGATCCGGATTGGACTCACTTTCCAAGGTAAATTCTTTAATCAGATTTCAGGTCTAGCCATGAGAAACTCTTTCGCACTTGATATTTCCAACATAGTTCTTAATGACCTCGATTCCGTTTTCCCTTCTTTCCATCAAGACATCATTTTCATTAAAAAATATGTTGATGACCTCCTACTTGTTCTTAATCCTGACAGCATATTCCTCAAATCCTTTCCTCATTCAACTCTTACCACCCTCGTCTTCATTTTACTATTGAGGAAGAAGTTAACAGTTCACTCCCCTTTTTAGACCTCCTAATAATTAGAAACACTTTCTATTTCTAATGGCTGGTATACTAAACCCACATACTCAGCAAGACTACTTAACTTTTACTCTTAACACCCATACTACCAAAAAATCAATTCCACCAAAAACCTAATTCACCGATCTCTCTCTTTATCTGATCCACAATAGCAACATTCTGCTCTTCCAAAATATATTAATTTCCAATTATTTTCCTCTCAACACTATACTTAAACTGGTAAACAACTATACAACCAAAAACAGTACAACCTCTTACTTAAAATCATCTATTACCAATTTACATCTCGGCCTTAAGTTCCATAACTAACAAACTCTCTTTTCTTTTCACCAACTTGAAAGATCCTATACTTTTATAACATCCATCTAATGTAGTTAACCAGATACGTTGCTCTACTCCTAATTGCAATAGTTCCTATATTTATGAAACTAAATAGAAGACTTATGGAGGAAGCTGAAAGTCAAAGGATGGAATAAAAAAAAAATTATTTTGTTGAAAAATAATTTTATTTCTAAAGAATATTTCTGTAATATTAAAAGTTTATGAATTTTTATATTTGAGTTTACCTCATTAAGAAGTGTGCTGGTTAACAAAATTAAAGCACCCTCTTTTAATAAATCAATAATATTTTTTAGAGAACCAAGAAGTTGCCTTTAACAATTAAAATCTTATTTGCTGTTTCCAGGTAAATACTCCATACGAATTCAAGAGATTACCATGTCCCAGATGTGAGGCTCCCATAGAAATACCCTGCTTTGGTGAGCATTTGATTCTGAAACTGCCTTGCTATAGGGCGAAACCTCAATGTTGTGGGCAAGAGTGTGGGCGCCGGCTGCAATGTACTAACCATGTTTGCACTTTTCTGTGCCATGTTGTGGAAAATGCATTATCTAAGATTGTAAGCTTTTATTAGTATTTTTACCTAGGGCTTTCAATTTGGTTTTAAATAATTCTTCAAGTTTTTAATAATTTTTTTAAAGGTAAGTGGATCTAATTGTGAAGAATGTAGCCAGGACTGTAGTATAGAACGGGATTGTGGTCATCCATGCCCTCTTCCTTGTCACCCAGGTGATTGTGATCCTTGCAAAGCAATCTTTAAGATCAGGTATATGAACTTTAAAGGATAGTGTTATTCTATATAGCATGTCAGTGAACCTTTTTCTATTTATAAAATTTCTTGATTGTATTAAATCAGCAGATAGCATTTCGAACACCATTTGATATTAGTGTCTAGAAATGAGAACCTTATGTTTAAGCATTTTTGACGACAGTATTTAACATTTTAATTTACTTGTGTTCAAAGTTTAAATTTATTTAAATAATATAAAATAAAATAGTGAAATAAATTTTTTCTTAATTATTAATGTTTGAAGTAATGATAATAGGATCTCTCTGATAAACTTTGCCATCTCGAAAAATCTGATAATTAAAAGTAAGACGTTTAAACATAAAGATATTCATAAATATACTTGGACATCACCGGATTCGCAAACACGAAATCAAATCGATCATGTCTTGATACAACATAGCTGGCAAAGCAGTATAATTAATGTACGGTCTTATCGCGGAGCAGAATGTGGGTCGGATCATGAATTAGTAATCGCGAAACTTCGACAAAAACTTAATATAAAAAAGAGAAAATAAAACCGTTTCAATTTTGAGAATTTTAATTTAGAAAAATTAAAAAATCCATCAATTAGAACCCAATTCGAGCTAGATGTTAAGAATAGGTTTGAAGCTTTAGAGCTTCCTGACGAGGACCACGAGGATATTGACAAGTTATGGGTTGAAATCAAGGATAATATTAAAGCGGTCGGTAACTCGTGTCTAGGAAAAAAGGAAAATAAGAATAACAAACCGTGGTTTGATGAAGATTGCTTAAACATGTGCGAAAAAAGAAAAACCGCTAAATTAAAACCTCTAAATAATCCTAGCAAAGACAATCTGGAATACTTCCGAACCTCAAAGAACGAAACGACAAAATTGCTCAAGAATAAAAAAAGGGAGTATCTTAAAAATAAAATAATTGAAATAGAAACTAATAGAATCGAAAATAACGTAAGAGACCTGTACAAAGGTATAAACAGATCACGTAAATGTGTAGGGCCTATAACATCTGAAATTAGGGATGATAATAACAATATTCTGTTTAAGAACCACTTTGACAATATTTTAAATACGGAAAATTATGATCTGTGTCCTCCTTCTGAGTACGTGAGTGCTGAACCGTTAATAGAACGACCAAGTAAAGAGGAAGTTGAAGTAGGTATCGGAAAATTAAAATCTTATAAAGCAGCGGGAACCAATAATATTTCTACTGAACAATTAAGGCATGCGGGGAAGCTGGAGTTTCTAAAATACTTCAGTTGGTTAAAAAGATCTGGGTGAATGATAAATTACCTGAAGAATGGAAAGAAACTATTCTTATTCCGATTCACAAAAGGGGTCTGAGAACAGATTGTAATAACTATCGAGGAATTTCACTCCTTCCGGTATGTTATAAAATATTCACTTTAATCTTAACCAGTCGAACCACGGAATACGCCGAGGAAATTATCGGAGACTACTAATGCAGATTTAGACGAAATGGTTCGACTATTGATCAAATATTTTCTTTACGGCCAATATTAGAGAAAAAATTGGAGTACAACGGTATTGTTCACCAGCTGTATATAGATTTTAAAAAGGCTTACGACTCTATTGACCGCCAGAAACTGTATAATATTCTAATTGAGCAGGGAATTCCAAAAAAAACTAGTAAATCTAGTCAGGATGTGCTTGACGGAGACACTCAATAAAGTTAGAATCGGTAATAATCTGTCCGAAAAATTTGAGGTGCGTTCGGGTTTGAAACAGGGGGATTCTCTTTCGCCTGTCCTGTTCAATTTGGCATTAGAACATGCCATTAGGGAGGTAATGCGTACCGATAAAGGGTTGGATCTGGGTGGGACAACATCCGTGCTGGGTTATGCTGATGATCTGGTACTGTTAAGTGAAGACGTGGAAACTATAAAACTAAATACGACCACGTTAATGAAAGCCACTAAAGAACTAGAACTAGAAATAAACGTGGATAAAACAAAATATATGGTTAGCTGCAAAAATGGCGATACTACTGGTGATATCGATATAGATGGTAATATGTTTGAACAGGTAGATAAATTTAGGTATCTAGGTTCCTCAATAACTAGAAAAAACGAAATTGAAGAAGAGATTAAGGTTAGACTGAAGGCGGGAAATGCTTCTTATTTTTCTGTGACAAAACTACGTAGTTCGCACCTCTTGTCCCGGAACTTAAAAAGTTAGAATCTATAAAACAATTATCTTGCCTACAGTGCTTTATGGATGCGAAACTTGGGCCGCTTACATTAAGGGATGAGCAGCGTCTTAAGGTTTTTGAAAATAAAGTATTGCGTAGAATATTTGGACCGAAGAAGGATGAGTTAACCGGAGAGTTCAGACGGTTACACAACGCCGAATTGAGTGAACTGTATCCGGGTAATATAATTGAGATAATTTCATTGTGGCGAATTAAATGGGCTTGTAAAGTTGTTGGGCTTAGTAACGAGAGAATTCCTAAAAGGTTAATATTTGCTGTGCCGAAGGGTAAGCGTCCGAGGGGTAGACCGAAGTGAAGGTGGGAAGATTGTATTAAAGCCGATCTGAAGGACTTTGTATTTTCCACCTCTTTTATTTTGATAATTTAAATTGATAAACCAATTTTAAAATGTTCAAAACAAACATGAGAAAAATTATGTCTTAAAGTATTATTGCTCGTTTAATTACATTTAATAGGACTTCAAGAATCACTTAAACACCATTTCATATAAGTAGTTAGTATTTTTCTTTTTTTCCAAAGTAATTATTGTTATATATATGAAAAAAAAAACTTCCCGGGCTGAAGCTTCCTCCCCCCCCCAAAATATTAAATTCTGGATCTGATAATGATTTCAATGAAGTTTTTTTTATTCGTACTAGATCGAAAAATATTTGACCCATGTAGGGGAGGTTCTTGCCAATGAGCTCTAAGGACCAGTTAAAAAAATATTAACATTCTTTTAAATTATGAACATGCTTTGTTGTGTAAAATAAGAAAAACATTTTGCTGATTATATCAAACCAATCAAAATATATAAAAAAATACAAAAAAAAAAAAAATTATGCTCCCAATGAAGTAGGCAAAGTAAATTTTGGTCATAAAAAAATCGATTCAGATTCGTTCATAGCGTCCTTTAAAACATTTTGAAATAAAAGAATATAATTTTTTTTATTTAATTTATGAAGAAAATCAGAGGGCAAGCCCAGAAGGGGGTTTTATGGAGCAAGTTGCGCCATCAAAATTTTTGAGGGGGGCATATTATGACGAGTTTTTAATTTTTGACGGGAACACATTTCAACAGTGTTATAAATTTTCAAAATGAAAAGTTTCAGAATAAGGGGCAAGGGAGAAACAAGGCAGTGTAATTGTATATGATCTACGATTTTTCTAATTCTACTTTCGTTTGCTTTGTTTTTAAGATAAGGTAGGCAATAAAATATCTTGCGAGAAGAGGGAAAGTAGATTCTTGAGCCATCAACCTAGATAAGAGGGGAGGGGGGGGCTTGGGCACCCCTGGGAAAAATTATTTCTATGCTGTTTACTAAAGCATTTACAACTCCTCAGGATTTTCACCTATATCATGTAGGAGTAAAGTAATTATAACCTGAGGTCGTGAAGGCCGAGTGTGTTGGAACGTTGCCCGTTCTAGTATCCTTGTGCCTAGTGACGACGGTTTGAATCTGGCCTGGAAGTAGTTGACTTTTATTTCGTGGCGGACTAACGAAATGAAACTTGACCCTCCCACGTTGGTTAGAATAGGTTTGGTTGTACCTCTAGAAAAAGCCCCTCTCTCTCCATATGTCAGAAATGGTGGGTAGGGGGTTATCCAATAAAAAAAAGAAAGATAATTTTAACCTAGGGACGGGGTGGTCGAGTGGGCTAACATGTGTTGCCCACTAAGCTGATAACTGAATTATCTATATATATAAAAATCTGGTGCGTGCAACACACAACTTTCACTTACGGCTCACCTTAGAATAGAAATTATTTTCTGGCCGTGTTGAGCTATTATAAAATGTTTGAATTGCATTTCTAATTGAGCTAAATCTAAAAAATTACAGCAAACAAATCATAAATATCATTAAAATAAAAAAAGTCATATTTATTAGATCATCGGTTGATTATGGATTGTACGACGATTAGTTATTAAACTGTTATTTCCCATATTTTTACTAAAACGGAATTAAGAGATTTGCATTGTCTGTCATGGACAGATCAAAAGTTGTCACAGTAATTGTAAGTGGATACTGTTGGAATATCACAAATGGAAATTTCATCAAAATTTCCTATTAAAAATCTTATGTATTCACTATGTTAAGTTAATGCATCATTTTTAGGCAACATTGCTCAGCTGTTACAAATATAGCAGGTTAGGCTTGGGTGAGGTTACCCAGAAAGTAGAAGTCCTTTGTTCCTGATAATGTGATGTTTGTGTAGAGGAATAAAGGTGTTTTGTGTATTTGTGGTGGTATAAAGTATATCAATATAGCCTCATTTGTTTCCTGAAATGATTTTCTGACATCACATAGTGGCATCCCTTGTGTGGGAAATTAAGGATAATGAGTGCTGAGGAGTTGAAAACTGCCTAATTAGAAAGGGCTCAGTGGAGAAGATTGCTCATAACTTTAGCTGCTTCAATTGAAAAGAAGATAGCTAAAAATGATCCGGAGCTCAAGCATGAATTTGAAAAACTAGAAGCAAGAGCTAAACAGTTATCAGAGCTCGAGAACAAGGTAAGAGCTTTAATATTAGTGGATCAAAATATTGATGAAAGGAACTGGATGATGAATATGATACATCCATCAATTATTATGACAAGTGGATTGAAATAAAAACTAAATTTAATGCTTTAATTGAGCATTTAAATAAAACTTGCCATGATGATGACAATTCATCAAATATCAGTTTCCCAAAGAAGAAATGCACACGATTCTCTAAGTTACAGCTGAAGCAGTTTACTGGGGATGTAAAGGAATGGATCGGATTTTGGGCTCAATTCAAAAGCA